TAGACCATCTACTTCAGCACACAAAATATACATTAACCTGATGACTGCATTTTTCAAGAACAAAAAACTCAATATTATTGTGGTATAAATCATGTTAATGTAACTCGGTACAGCTTCTTGGGATTTACATAGAATGACTTTTAAAATATGAAGAAATATTCATTTTTGTAGGACAGAAAAAAATCTAAAAACTAAACCGCAAAATCCTTTGATCAATTTATAGATTCATTAAATGGTAAATTCAAAGGAAACTACCAACAGAAACAAGGTGAACTAATAAGAAAATGCGTAGCTCATATTATACAACGAGATGGTGTAGTTCTATGACGCAGATAACAGACTGGTTATCGTTACATCTGATACTCAAATCTACTGAGTTTACAGTCATCAAGACTAACAATTCAGTGTACAAATTATTTGAAATCTATTTCATACAACGAAGTCAGTCATAGGTGACTACTGTATTGTACTACTATTCTTATTGAGATATATTGAAATACGATCAAAATACTGAATAGTAATTTATATTTTTACACACCACATTCAAATTACAATCTTAAGAAATATCGCCAGTCATAGAGTATAAGTTTATCTCATGCAAAATAACAGTAGAACAGGTTTGTAATTCCCTGCAATCAACTCTGACGTGAATAACCAAGTATTGCAACTTAATCGTTCAAAAACAAAATGAGACTGATTTCAATTCCTTGAATAAAAAATAAAAGATTCAGTTTTACGATAAGAATGAATTGTACAAATATTAAAGTATATATTTCAAATAGAAGTAATTTAAACTGAATTCAGTAATCTTTATGATTGATATTTATAGAAGACGTATAGTCGAGAATTGGGAGCAGACATCAAAAGGATGAACAGTAGCTGGAAACGACTAGAGAGGATTGTCTAGGACATAGTTCGATGGAGAATGACGGCGGGCGGCCTATGCTCCTCGACAAGGGGTAACTGTTATATCCCAATAAGAATAGTGAATGGTAATTTTTGGGATCCATTTATGGACCGATATTACGAGTATATTTTTATCGTATAATCGTGATGTAACTAATCTGTTCATATCCATATCCCTCTTATTATGAGTTTTATTTTGACCTATGAACTATTATTATACGATTTACCATTCTTGAGTTATACCCTATCTATTGATCCCTATCTCCCTCATTCAGAGCCACATCTGGCTAATTGTACAAATGTTGTTTCATATTTGATCGGTACGTTGTGGTCTGTCTGGTTGATATATAAACCGAGTGTGTTTGAAATATAATGATTCATATCGCCGAGGCTGAGACTTGTGGTCTGGACTTGACTGGCTGGGCTAGACAGGGATGCAGGACCAATCAGAACTCTAGGCTGCTTGCACGTGTTTTACGCGTCTTTGGTCCGATCGATAATTCGTTGCTCTCTAATCGGCGGGTCACAAGTCATAACAATTGGCGACGGGGATGGGATTCGAACCCACGCGGGGAAACCCCAATGGATTATAACAGTAACAGGCGTAGGTAAACGAGTTTAGTCTAACAAAAAACCAATATATTCAAAACGGTAAAGATTTCTGCGCAACTCGATTTCATCTCTCTATAAATCATGAACAGAAATTAGGATAAATCAACAAAGCGAAATCGAACTAAAAAGAAACCATGATGATAATGGGTACGATAAAGAAAAAAACTGGATGAATGAATGTAAATCACAGTTAAGACAGAGAATAAAAAGTCCGAAAAGTACGATTCATATTTACATTGTTTCATAGTAGATAATATCCTGTTGATTAGTCCAAATGCTACCTTCATCACTAGTCTGAGTAAGTGGCAATGGTGAAATTTAAGAGATATAATGGGGCTTAAGCCTATTAGTAGGGTTTCCTGCTAATGCAAATATTACATTGTAACCCATAATATAATTGATCCTCATGATAGGTTCCAATAGAGCTGAAACATTGAAATTTATTAAAATATTTATTCAGTTGTCAATAAAAAAACTGGTTAACATCTGTCACTGAAGAAAGTTCTATTCAGTTATTGATTGAGGAATTTAGTGGGTTTTTTATGAAAAATAATTGAATTCCCATAATTCTCTTAGTGGTAGAAAAAGGAAAAGCAATTAAAAATTTCATAATTACATTTAATTCATTTAATCCCCTATCTAGTTACATTTCTATGTGTGGCTTTTTCACCGTATTCAATAAATAAAACTAATTTCAATTATTTTAAATGTGTTAATCGAGTTTTTCTTATGAGTAAAAATGTCTTATTCTAACCATAACGATTAACATTGAAGTCTATTGGTAAAGAAAAAACAATTAAGCATCTCTCATGACACAATAGAAGAACAACAAATGAATACTTGTATCTCACAGGATTAACGTATTCAATAAAATAACGAACCCTCTTCGAAATACTCAAGTTCAAATAAAAGATAAAATCCCTAATACTTCGATACAGGAGTGTGCCTACAGACTAGGAAGTACAGACTGTGATGCATTCTATATTGAAGAGTCTTCTTGTGAAATCATGACTTGTGCCAAAGAACGTCTGATCTACACAAAAAGACCTCCGAATAATCCTGCATTAATAGAAAATCTGCAAATCAAATTGATAATACCAGTATAACGATCAAATAGATACTAACAGTATCAAAATAATCGTAAAAGGATTTCCCAATTATAAAGAAAGGCGACTGAATGAATTCTTTCATATTTTCCCAGAAAGAAAGGCTCAAGAATCTATTTATCAAAGTATCTACACAATTAGTCCTGTCCATATCTCACAATACTAAAAAACATATTTATAATCCTAAGCGAACTCTCCCGTATTACAAATATCACAATTTTTATACCTACCAACACACGCAAAATTACAAGCAGCCATGTCTCACATAGTAAAAAATGTCACAACAATAGTAACATGATCAAACCTATTTTAATTTTTACTATACTAAGAATATTCTGCTTTGTGTTCTTTGTACTATTTAAATTTGTGTGAATTTAATTTGATGTTTATTTCACTTTACTGATGAAGCAGTTTAAACCAAGTTATGAAACATCAGAAATTTAATTTCCTACTCATTGGGACTTAACAAATATATTATTATCTTTCGTGAAATTAATAGATAATAATAGTGTAAGATAGAAAGTATAATTTATCATAAGACTCAAAGCGATATCATAAAGAATCTTCAAAATCAAATTATATGAGGACAGGAAACGTAATACTAGTCAATACATTAGATTTCATAATGTTCACTTTTTCCAGAAAACAAGATGAACATATATTTGTGTTTGAGTGTATATATATGAAAAAAATTAAGATAATTAAAGGGTGTCAAAAACTTCTAAAATAATCGAGAGAACTGAAGAAATAATATATTTGTTTCACTCTGACTTTCTGTCTCACACACACACACTACCTCTGTTTACTGACCAAAAATCTTACGATTACAAAAGTGAAAGCGATTATTTATTGAGAAATGTTAAGTGGAATCACATAGTAAAACAAATAAGACAAAATATTTGATTTGAAAGAAAAAATTTATGTGGTAACATTTAAACAACTGATCAACATTTTTATAACCTCATGTACTAAGATTAGTATTATTAACACATAAAGACACACAAAGCAAAGAATACACGAAAAGAGTTGGATATAAGCTATCATCTACAGCTTTCCGACGAATGATTGCAACAGGTACAAAGTTTGGCACTCACTTATTTTACCATGATATCGGGTAGATGTAATGGTTGCTTTAAATCAAAATCGCATATTGAGTAGTGACCGAAGCAATGTTACTCAGGTTTTATTGCTGATTGAAGAGTGTTGCTCTTCAATTGATGTTAGACTGTTAGACGCATTCGGCTTACAGATGAGCTAATTAGCAAAAAATGTTAGTAGAGAACTTGCTACTGGTTGTTCACAATCACTTATCTAATTAACATAATGTCAAAATAATGTATGTGATTTTATCATCAAGATAATTTGATCATAATCAAATGACAACAAAAATTAAATAATATTCGGTTAAATTATTTCCTTGAAATGTAATACATGAAAACAAGCATATCACATTTAGTGCTAAAATGAACTGTTCAGTATTATTAGAACACAATATATCACGTTTGAATACCCGCTAATATTTCATGAAAACATATAAACCCATCACAGAATATTCCCAACATTAAAACATAATATCTATCGTACAAAAACATAAAATTCGGATAATGTTTTTGTCAAGTTATGTAAGACATATGGATCAACCAAAGTTGTGTATTGTGAAGAACAAAATAACTCTATAGCTATTTCGTCGAACCAGTATTAGCGAGTATAAAGACTGATCTTATCTATCTATCCTTACACTTTTATGAACCTACTATTGAGTTACACAGGGTGGCAACTCGAAGTGTTCGGCAGTCCACGTACATACATCAACAAATAAAACCATAAAGCCTCACAAAGCGGTGCAGTAGTATCATCTTTTACTGTAAACTTTATTCGTTTCCTAATTTTTAACGTGTACTCAAATTTTATTAGCTACTCAATCATGAGAGTTAAAAGAACTTTAAAGGCAAGTGAAGTGGTTAATGTTCGAATCTCTATAATTTTGACACTATTAATAGACGGATTCAGTATTTGAACAAACCCCAAAGATTCAATTTCATAAACTCTAATTAATAAAGCTAAATCGCACAAAGAGGATCAATAATCCCTGAAAACTTGACAAAGAAATTTACTTTATGTAAGAGAATATCGATATTTAAGCTTCGAATATTTATGAAAAATAAAAGCGAGTAGAATGATTTGAGAACAATTAGATCATTCGCTTTATCTTAAGACTTTTCAAATCGACAAACGAATGTTCCTTCTCTAAAAAATTCAAACGAATACATACATGTTTACCGGATTTTAGTAGGTTTCACGTACCAATCAATTAAAAAACCGAACAATAAGAAAACACAACATAACAGGTACTTGACCAACAATAAAAAGACTTACCGATCATCTCTTCCCAGATTACGATTAGATATAAAAAGTATTTCTTTTAAAAGTTCGTTTTGTAGTGCCTCTGGGCCGAATTTCCTATTTTGAAAAAAGCATGATAAAGAAAATAAATATATATATGAGAGAATAAGCATAGTTTACTTCTTAGTTAGGAGAATTCACAAAACATAATCAAAATCGTTTTTTAAAAATGGTATATCATTATTCTAAACCAATACCGTTTGAATAAAGGGCTAAAAGGACTATGAAGATTACCTGGATATTTCACTGGACTTCATAGTATCTCGAAAAAAATTTAACCATTATTCTCATGAAACTCATAACCATCAATAAAGTTTGCACATCTAAAGTGTTTTAAAAAATATCTCACTGTAGAGACAGATGGTGTCTTTCAATAAGTCCGATTCTAACGACTACCATTACCATTAACTCAATCACTTTATTTTAGTTATGATTTATTTTCACTACTAACTTGATTAGCTTCATTCATAATACCTGCAGACTAAACGTTTTAACAAATCTTCTAACTAGGATAAATTATAACTCAAAATAGTACGGTGTGTTTGAAGACCTGGGTGTTCCGAACACAGAAATGGACTATTAAAACATTTTTTAAATTCCCGATTTCAGTTTAACGATCTTCGAATAATTTCACTTTGATGAGAACAATCAAAGGAGAAAAGAATAACCGTAGTGGATCGACCTTGTTTTGTTCTTTGGAAATCTCTAAATTAATAGAGTTTGAGAAAACAAAATTAAACACCCCTTTTAAATAAAATTGTGATTATTCATAAAAAAGCAGAAAACCCTAACTCAAATTAACATCGATACAGAAAGATCAATATTTTTTTAACAAAGTAAACGAAGATCATTTTCAACAAAAGAAAATTTAAAATGTTAGTTTTAAACTTACAACAATTGAAATTAGACCATTGAAAGATAAATTGATGAATTAAATGATCCATTGAATCAAAATATATGTATAAATATGTATGTATACGACCACTCCACATAACTGAAGCCATCAAAATCAACTTTAGAAAACCTAACTTATGTATTCAAAAGAAATATGTTGAACCTTTGTAATTACCTTGATCCAGGATTGAATTACGACATATGTAAACTGGACATTGTAAATCCCCTAACCCCCTCCATTCCATTTATATCTCCCCTGCTCCGCTTTTATATTAAACGCTCGTCTTTCCCAATCCATATGAACTTCTTAACCTTATGACAGATTATATTCACATGATGTTATTATCACCAGTATATCCATCAACTATACAAAATTATCCTACTATGCATTTTGTTTACAGGATTTACTTTATTATAATAGTGATTATAGCTTGACACCTTACAGCCTTTGAAAATGATGTTTTTAATGCACAGATGACACAATTCTGAAGTATCTATGACGTAACAGATGCAAAGGTTCACTACTTTTTAGCACAATATTGTCTAATTCAGTAAAATGACTTAATTTGGCATTTGCAACACAATAGTTATGGATTCATAACAATAGTTTGATGACAAAATTATAGAAAACAAATATTTTTTGTTTCTGAATATCCTATGAGAATTTTAAACCGCCGAAAATGAAAAAGTATGGTATTAAAGCAACATTAGGTTGTCTGACATCGTCAAACGTCATCAAAATCTAAAATAAGCAACTTCATTCTAGCAACTGACTATGATCTGCATTTCAACTTTAAGAATGAACCAAATCGTCAATGAGGTAGTTGCAGACCAATGACAGTGGATGGTGGTCACCGTTATATACCTGACTTGGATTACGGCTCAGTGATCTGAATTTATTATGTTACCTGCGGAACCTGTAGGTGTCACATGAAATTAAGATGAAACGGAAAATCAGAACTCTCTGACTATCAGTAATTCCTTGGATTATTTCGATTTGTGTTGAAAACGTCTTGAACTACAAAACTACATATAAGTAAAGGGATCAGTCGGATCGACTATCTACATGTAATAAAAAATGAATAATAACCGTATGTAATTTCACAGACATCAAGCATCTTAAATGTGACAGTAATATATAAAGTCAGTAATGTATAAAAAAATGAGTATCAAATAAGAATGAAATATTGGTGTACTCAAAACCAACTAATAGTGCATAATAAGAAATGAACTTGAGAAAATAATAAATTATTCTGATGTCGGTGTTTAGAATCGAATTTTGATCAGTTGTTGTTGTTATATGTGCATCCTCCGTAGATTACCTTTATATACACTGATACATTCAGCTGATGAGTGATAAATGTCCCGAAACGCGAGTCCTGAATACCATAGCTACAATCTATTTGTTATAATAAAAGATAATACGTTGTTACTTAAAACCATCCCATCGGAATTTTCACCATATCAAAGTAATATTTTGATCATCATATGGAAAAAACTCCAAGGTTAAGTACTTTCTAGTTAGTTCATCTTCAGTTATCAAACACTTCGACAGCTGCATAAACGATGGAAAAACTAATCACATAGCAAACTTACCCACTAAAACACACACACATACAAGAAAATGAATTCATGAGACTGAAATAAACAAGGAAAATTTGAAGAAGTGATCCATCAAACTCCGAACTGATATAGTCATACTGAAAATTTATTCTCAAGTTATTATTATTTTCCATTTTAAATGTGAAAGATAATTAACATTTGCCCCCTTTTTCTTCAAATCCTATTTTTAACTTGATTGATTGATAAATAAAGTTGTGATAGTAATTTTATATTGAATAAGATGATTTGTTTTTTCCTTTTTAAATTGTAAACAAGTTACAGTTTTGATTGAGTTGTTAAAAAAAAGCAAGTTAGTTATACTTATGTTTTTTATCATCTGTGTTTTTCATGCTAGTGTTTTCTTTTTGAAAGATAATGATTTCATACGTATCATGAAACGTTATCTGTACATTCCCATGATGTACAAGTCATAAGTTATACTAAACACTATGGCATCCCATTTCAAAGTTATTTAAAATTCAAAATAAAATATGTAATTACTAAGGTGTAAACATCTTGTACGAAACTGTTAAGAAAATTTCGTTTCCCGATGATGAGCTGTAGTCAACAAAAAATATAATACACTCAAAAAACTAACAATAAAAACTTTTTGTACGATTATGAGGATTGCGAAAGATGAATGTTCAACTAAAAAATGTTTCAAAGAAGGAGAGCAAGACAATGATAAACATTAAAAAAAATTTAAGAAGGGGTATGAGTCAATAATATATAACTTGTGGAGTTATAGATCAGAATAAACGAAGAGGTAAATTACACTTCTTCCGAATACTTTACTTTGGTTTCACCAACTATCTAAACAGTTGGAAAAAATAAACCAGAAGATGTTGATCAAACCAAAGAATAAACCCAAAATTACTCCAACTGAAATACTTTGATTCACTCTTTAATTTCTTCAGCTCAAATAACAATCAAGTATCATTAATTATTCAAAATGTATAATGAAATAAAATAGTGAAAATAATAGTAATAAGTAATTCCAATAATCAGGGAACAATATTTCAAACTGTTTATAATGATGATAATGATTAGTATTGTCATTTGCTTTTCAGATAAAATGTGACAAGTTGGCAAACCTCTACCTTCAAAATATCTATACACTTGTCAGTTACGAAGAAAGTTAGGGGCGGCCAAATCAAAATGTGGCATCAGTCCATGAAGTCACCAACTTCTCGTCTGAGTCATGTTGGTAGATGCAGAATATTTGGTTGGGGTCAAAGCGACTATCGTAACAAATGGTTGAAGAATCTAGGTGACATGGCTCGGAATCGATCCCAATGGCGAAGGTGTATACACTCTCTGTCTTCCATTAAACCGTGAGATTAAAATTGCTTTATACCTTTCTACCAACTAATTCTTTCTTCCTGTGTTATATACATATATGAAATCTTTTTATATATTACTACCATCAGAGTAACTACTTCTATGAATTAGGTGATCATCGTATGGTGCTAGTGAGGTGTAGCAGGTTGGACCGATGCATATATGAGCCTGATCCTACGTTGTAGCTGACAACTGAATGAAAAAGCCTATTCATATACAAAAGACCAATCGTCTAAATTTGAACAAATAGTTTCACAATATTTGGGTGACGAGTTAATGCGAGACATTAAAGAGGAAGAATGTATTTGTAAAATCTCAGTGAAATAATTTGAAGTAAATCCAACGTTTCCGCTGGCAATCTGGTCCAAGTTTTTTTCAAGGAAAATATAATCAAACAACAAAATTATCGAATATAAATAGGTACATGGTTCTCTGGTTTACTGTATACTGAATAAGTCATCCAATCAACGTGAATACTGTTTGAAGTAGGCATTTACATTAGTGTGTAAGAGACATGTGGTGTGAAACGAAAAGTGTTAAGATAACAGATTGTGTGTCTACGTAAGTGATGTGTGAAGAAATTTCATTCAACTATGTATTGTCTTCGGTATGTATATATTAAGAAAACATATCATTTTATATATGATATGAATCAAAAATGAAGATAAATAAACGAGATAAGTAAACAGGATAAAAGACTGAATTCAAGGAGGAAGAATGTGTTTGTAATTGAAAGTTTGTGTTATTTTAATGTTCCAGTCAATTATTTAACATATTCAGATAAGATAACTGATTTCAACCGTTGAATGTATTATCTATTGGTTAGTTAATATGATATAGATAGATAGAATGGAATAAGGAGTCCAGGTTTACTTATTAATTATTAGTTGCCATGGGACAGCTAATTGTATTCCATCTCTCCTATTAATACTGTTTGAATTAGCCCATATATGCAGGGCTTCGACTGTTAGTCGTTCTTTGTAAGAATTAAAGCCTTTTTGAATGATTCTTGCGCCATTGAAATCAATTGTATGACCCGATTCTATCGAGTGTAATGCTATCGCTGATTTGTCCTCAAGTTTTCTTACATCATCTAAGGGTTTAGGAATGTGCTTTAAACACAGTTTGTGTTCCTTCACCCTCACATTCAATTACATTGATGTTTCACCTACATAAGTTGCATTACAGTCATTACGTTTGATTTCATAAACACAATTCTG